TGAATCATAGACCTCCTGACAAGGTTCCAACTCAATCGGACCACGGATCGATTTCCGTTTAACCAACTCTCCCTTCTCCTTTTTCTCTCTCTGCTTTTCCTGGCTTTTCTTCTTTCTCTGCTTGGTTGTCGACACACACCTTAAACAACCCCACCTCTTTTTTATTAAGTAGCTAGGGCTCTGTGTAAAATAAAAGATCAAGGCTCATGGCCTTTACTTGGTCCAAAACCACTTACATGGGACTGGACCCCATTTTTCTAACAATCTCCCCCTGCAGTCCCATTAGAAGGAGATTCATCACCATAGCAATTTCATTTGGAACTTACCTTGGCCAGGGAACTCATTTCGGCCAAGTTACTGCAAAGCTCAAGCTTTTCCCTGGAAAGTATCTTAGTCAACATATCTGTCACATTTTTATCAGTATGGACTTTCTTCAATAGCATCTGCTGTTCTTCAATCACTGAACGTAACCAATGATATCTAACATCAATGTGCTTTGTTCTAGCATGTTACATGGTATTCTTACTCAAATCTAAAGCACTCTGGCTATCACAAAATACCACATACTCTTTTCTGATTCAACCCCAATTCAAAAAGAAAACGTTTCATCCAAAGCATTTCTTTACATGCTTCAGTTACTGCAATATACTCAGCTTTTGTAGTTGACAAAACAACACACTTCTGTAACTTAGACTGCCAAGATACAGCTCCTCCTGCAAAAGTGAACAAATACCCTGAAGTAGATTTCCTACCATCAAGATCGCCTGCCATGTCAGCATCAGTAAACCCTTCTAGAATTGGTTGTGAAACTCCATAAGTCAAACACATTTTTGAGGTACCCCTCAAATATCTAAAAATCTATTTTACTGCTTTCCAGTGAACCTTCCCTGGATTAGAAAGAAATCTACTCACTACACCAACTGCATGAGCAATGTCAGGCCTTGTACAAACCATAAGATACATTAAAGAACCGACTGCAGAAGAATAAGGAATACTAGACATAGCTAGTTGCTCTTCCTTAGACACTGGATAAGATTTCTTACTTAGATAAAAATGGTTGGCAAGTGAACTGCTAACTGATTTAGCATGTTGCATGTTGAATCTACCAAGCACTCGTTCAACATACTTTTCCTGTGACAACCACAGCTTTCCAGCTCTCCTATCTCGGATAATGTCCATACCAAGAATCTGCTTTGCTGGACCTAAATCCTTCATATCAAAGGACTTAGACAATTATTCTTTCAACCTGCAAACCATACTAGCATCTTGTCCTACAATCAACATATCATCAACATATAATAATAGGATAATGAAGTTACCATTAGAGAATTGTTTAATATACACACAAGAATCCGTTGCTGTTCTTTTATAGCTATGACTCACCATAAAAGAATCAAACTTTTTGTACCACTATCGCGGAGCTTGTTTCAAGCCATACAAGTTTTTCTTCAATTTGCAAACTAAGTGCTCTTTCCTTTTCACTTCAAAACCCTCAGGCTGATTCACATAAATGTCCTCCTGCAAATCACCATGCAAAAATGCAGTTTTAACATCAAGTTACTCAAGCTCAAGATTCAAACTAGCTGCCAATCCCAGTACCACTCGAATAGAACTCATTTTTACAACTGGAGCAAAAATCTCATCAAAATCGATGCCTGGTTTCTGAGAAAAACCTTTTACTACCAATCGAGCTTTGTACCTCACTAGTTTATCACCATCCTTTTTCAACTTGAACACCCATTTATTCTTTAATGGCCTCTTTCATGTTGGAAGTTTAACAAGATCATAAGTACCATTCTTTCGCAATGACTCCATCTCTTCTTTCATTGCTTTTAACCAGTGCTCTCTATCCGGAGTAGCCTGCACATCTTGAAAGCTTTCTGGCTCCCCTTCACTGGTAACTAAAATAAAATCTGAACTTGGATACCTGGTAGATGGCCTGCGCTCTCTAGTAGATCTCCTAGGCTGAGACTCTACATCACTTAATGCCGAAGGTAGCTCCCCCTGCTCAACACTCTCAGGTAGAGAGGATTGCTCCCCCTGCTCAAAACTAATAGCATCTGGCTCATCACTAACTGTAGCTGGCTCATCCATATCCCCAAGTTCTGTTTCTAGCTCATTTTCATCATCTGTGGCTCTTTCCTGTGAAATCCCTGTCGGTGTTGAAACATCACACTCAACAGTAACTCGTGTAGTCTTCTCATTTTTCTCAAGGTCTGCTATGGTTTCTTTTTCATGAAAGACCACATCTCTGCTTCTGACTGTCTTTCTCTTTACTGGATCCTATACCCTGTAGCCAAATTCCTCATCACCATATCCTACAAACACACACTGTGTAGCTTTACTGTCAAGCTTTGATCTCTGCTCTTTCGGCACATGAATGAATGCTTTACACCCAAAAATTTTCAAGTGAGAGTATGAAGCATCTTTTCCTGTCCACACTCTTTCTAGAATGTCAAAGCCCAAAAGAACTGATGGTGACCTGTTAAGTAAATAACAAGCTGTGTTGACTGCTTCACCCCAGAATGGCTTTGGTAATTTTTCCATCCTCAACATACATCTGACTTTTTCCACAATGGTGCGATTCATTCTTTCAGCTATACCATTATGCTGCGGTGTTTCAGGTTCTGTCCTCTCATGCCTGATCCCATGCTTTGAGCAATACTCTTCAAAGCTTTTAGATGTGTATTCCCCACCATTATCAGTTCGAATACACTTCAAGGGTAACCCTGTCATCCTTTCAACCATGGCATGAAATTTTTGAAAATACTGCAGTACCTGACTTTTATATTTCAACATATACACCCAAGTCTTACGTGAAGCATCATCAATAAAAGTAACAAAATATCTGCTACCACCTAATGACTCAACCTCAATGGGACCACATACGTCAGAATAAATTAATTCCAATCTATTTTCTTTTCTCTGAGAACTTTTACGAAAAAAAACTCTATGATGCTTACCAAACAAACAATAATCACATGAATCGAGAGACATACCTTTGGTCAAGGGAATGAGAGAGTGCCTTGCCAAAACATGTAACCCTTTTTCACTCATGTGTGCCAGCCTCCTGTGCCACAAGTTTGCTGAAGCATCATTTTCAATGGTATTTACCTGGTTACCGTTCAATTGCATCCATGTCTTATACATTGTGCAGCATAGTTTTCCCCTTGCAACTACCATAGATCCTTTGAGAAGCTTTCATTGTCCATTCTTTTGTCGGCTTTCATATCCCTCCTTATCAAGGACATTAATAGCAAGCAAGTTCATTCTCATATATGGAATGTGTCTGACATCCCTCAAAGTCAACATGCAGCCTGTACTAGTTTGTACAACAATATCACCAATCCCAACAATCTGCGACACACTCTTATTTCCCATCTTGGTACAACCAAAGTCTCCTGCTTTGTAAGTTGTAAACAACTTTCTCTTAGGAACACAATGATATGCCGCTCCTGTGTCAACTATCCACTAAATGCCGGGATCACTAACATGATTACAATCACCATGTGTACAAATCAAAGTAACTGAATCACTATCTGAATTCACTGCTGCAACATTGCCATCATCTGAACTCTTGCCTTTCTCATCTTTTCGCTCTTGCTTTAAGATTCTACAGTTTCGTTTTATATAACCCGCCTTACCACAATGGAAACACTTCACTTTACCTCTAGACTTGGATCTATGTTTAGACTTACCACGGCCTTTTGAGTCCTGACCTCTGTCGATGTTTCTACCCCTGTTCTCTGTGACTAGAGCTTGATTCCCAGGGTCTACATCTTTTCGCCTCGCTTCTTCATTAAGCATACTGTCATTTACCATCTCCAATGTCACCTTATAATCAGGAGCTGAATTAAGAACAGTCACAACTAGAGTATTCCAGCTGTCTGGCAATGAACCCAAAAGAAATAATGCCTTCATTTCATCATCCATCTTAAGTTTCATAGTAGTCATCCGATTAAATATATCTTGAAAATCACTCAAGTGCTCTGTAACAGATCGTCCATCCCTGTACTGTAAAGTTGCAATCTTCTTAACAAGCATAACTTTATTCATACCTGTTTTTCTCTTATACAATGCTGCCAATTTTTCTCAAACAATGTGAGCATCTGACTCCTGCGCTACATGATGAAACACGCTGATATCAACCCATTTTCTGATTGTAGCCAGCGTCTTTCTACCTAGCTTCTTCCAGCTTTCATCTTTCATATCTGCTGGTTTAGTCGAATCACCCAATACTGGCTCATACAAATCTTTGCAGTATAGATGATCTTCCATCATAGGCTTCCAAATTGAATAATTTGATGCTATCAATTTTATCATGGAACCTGTATCACCCTTCATGATCTCAAACAGAATTTACTTCTATCCTGGGTTGCTTCTGTATTGATGTCTCAAAATAACCTTCGCTCTGATACCACTTGTTGCGCCTGAAGCAATAATCACAACAATACAGAAGCAATAGACAACAATCAATAATCAAATGCGCAGGAAAAATAAAGCACACCAAGATTTACGTGGAAAACCTCCAGTGTAGAGGGAAAAACACGGGCCACCAGAAAAATCTTCACTATCAATAATAGTTAATACAAAGTTCTTCTCTAGCTAAAACTAGAGCTAATCAACAACTAGAGAATAATTGGAGAAATCTCACCAAATAAGTGACTCAACAAATACACCTGGATTTGTTCCTAGAGAGCTTCAAACCCGATCTTCAACCGTTCAGAATGTATAACTCTGAATCATAGACCTCCTGACAAGGTTCCAACTCAATCGGACACGGATCGACTTCCGTTAAACCAACTCTCCCTTCTCCTTTTCTCTCTCTACTTTTCCTGGCTTTTCTCTTTCTCCTGCTTGGTTGTCGACACACACCTTAAACAACCCCACCTCTTTTTTATTAAGTAGCTAGGGCTCTGTGTAAAATAAAAGATCAAGGCCCATGGCCTTTACTTGGTCCAAAACCACTTACATGGGACTGGACCCCATTTTTCTAACAGTTATTTCGCGATTAAACTGCTATTTGAATCCTTGTTCTGATCAAGTGAGCTAGATAAAAATCTGGCAATATATTCCCTTAACCGGAATTCTTTGTATCGAGGAGGATTTGCCTCTGATATCAACTCTTTGATTGGGCCGAACGGCTTGTCAAGAAAGGTAGCATGTCCTTCAAAAAAGCATGGCACAGAAATTCTACGGCCAACATGATTGTCAGCTACTCTATGCTTGACACTCTTCAGCTTGTCATTTGACATAATCTACCATAACAACATAAAAGCGATTGGCTATTTGGAAAGGAAACTTCAACGAAAGCAGATGTATCTGAAGCAAACCTGAAGAAGATCTCCGATATTCACGACTAAGCCTCCTCGAATGGGTTGAACATCAAACCATTGTCCCTCATGAAGGACTTGGAGGCCGCTGATTTCGTTCTGCAGAAGCAGAGCCAGTATACCTGGATCTGCATGCTTCCTTACTCCCAAAGTCAGTTCCGGTTGGGGGCAAGCTGGATAGTAGTGGCACACAATGCTACACCCTTTAGCACATCCGATTGAGCCAAGGTGGTCTTCTTGGAGACCAAGAGCCTCTGATAGCAACTGAAACAAAGTTTCACCTAACCGTCTGATATACTTAATATACTCCAATGTTGATTTTCTGCAAATTTAAACAACCAGAACCAGAAACATATATGTAAATGTCCCAGCAAATATGAGATGGATTGGATATACCAATTTCAATAATACTTAAACAGCATAACTGTAGCCTTGATTTGAGAGATACTGGGAAATTTCTGTACTGATATATGCTCCTATATATATTATCATGATAACAAAAAGATTTGACTGAGAGGCAGATAAAAAACTAAGAAACTAGATTAGTGCATAGTTACCTGCAAACTGCTGGCATTTCTTCAGGGTCAGAGTCAGAGTCAAGGAAAGAAAGGGTCATAGTGTCTCTCCAATCAGCAGTTAGTGATTTATATAGATCAAAGTTAGAGTTGAATCTCACTTTCTTTGTGGCCTCACGGCTATGCAATTCTTTCTTCAACTCCAAATCCTTCTCATTGAACATACGTACCCCATCAATCATCTCATCCAACACACTTAAAGGGATACCATGATTAATTACTTGGAAAAACCCCCACTCTGCTGATGCAATCCTAACTTTATCTACAATCTCCTTACGCCAGCTATCGTCTTGGATGTTGCTTAGATCTATGATCGGAACTTTAATGTTTGTCTGGCAGGAATTCAGTTCCTCAACAGCAAGCTCCTCAGCTGGTCGTATGAACATCTTGGGGATGCTAACTATGCCAGCATCTACAAGTCCTTTAACACCAGCTTTTGTGTCATCAAATTCCTTCAACTCTTTAGTTCTGTCGTAATCCACTGAGGTTTCAGATGCAATTCTCTCCGGTGCCGGATGGAGTTCTTCAAAGACTTTCTCTGAGTATTGGAATACTACTTTCCTTGAAGATAAGTTTGACTTCAAAATGGATTTAAAAAAAGACAAATGACTTATGAATTACAGTGACTTAAACATGTTGCACGTGTTGCTTTTCAGAAAAATTTCACATGTTGCGTTTCACATAATCGCATTGCAGTCATAACAGTACCCACATGATGTTTTTCAAAACATGAATTTATGATAAAATAAAATCTTATAAGTATTAAGATTTAAATTTTAAATTATTGAGTATTATTTTTTAAAAATAATTATATAAATTAATAAAATTAAATTCTAACTTTTTCAAAACAAAAATTTAAGCCAAAAAAAAAAAAAATCTTGGTTGTACAGGGATCTAAAGCTAAGAATATTTTTTGTTTGCAAGCTCGAGGCAATATTGCCTACCTTGGTTTCTCTGCTTCTTTGGATTAAAAAAAAAAAAAGAAGATTTGAGAAGTGTTTAAGTAATTTCCGAAGATTGAAAAAATTCTGATGTGTATATGATGGAAAAAATTCATATACAATTTCAAGAGAAATAAATTATTTCTTTTTATCTTGTAAGAACTCATAAGAGGGATCATCTCATTCTTATCCGGTAGTGTATCAGAATTTATTTTCCATTTATTCCATCCTGCTACTAACATAAAAATGCTGCAATTTTACTTTTACTATATATTCCACGTGTTAATTTTCTTTTTTTTTTTACTTTTTCCTCTTTTTTATGGTTAGTAATGTAATCGAACCGAATCAAGACAATACAATAAAAAGCTCGAGCTTGATTCTAATTTGTGACTCGATATTCGGCTCGAACTAGATCAAATTTTATTTTCCTAGTTTGAGCTATATTAGTGATCGAAATCAAACTACTCAAACTCACTCAATTAGGCTCGATTAATATGTAAAAATAAACTTGATTCTTATATTCAATAAAAACTCAATTATTTGTGCTAAAACTTGAGAACTTGACCTCAAGTTTGAGATCTTTTACAACAATTGTTTATCAAACCTAATAAATATTATATTTTTTAGATAATAGTAACAATAACAACAACAACAATAATAATAAAAACTTACACAACAACCAAATCTAAGTAAATAAAAGTCTCATTAAAGGATTCAAATACAATACACAAATAAAAGACATAACGAAACTTAGAAATTAAAATCCTAATTGAAACAAATAAATCCACAAATAAGTTACAACAAGCTAGCAAAAATATATATGCTCCCTTCATAATATAATGTCTTCAAATGAACATTGGGTCCATATTGTTTTCCAATAAACCTACACAAAAGAATAATTACAAAACAAACAAATTATAATTAACAATAAGAATAATAGTAGAAACACCCATGTGAAAAAAAAGATTGCAATATTATTACAATGATCAATAACTTTAAATTTTTAATATTGGCATAAACATAGACTATATCTTATCAATTGCCTTACAATCAAAGCAGAAAAATATAAACAGTGTCTTGTCAATTGCCTTAACATAAGTTTCTATCATTAATTAACCTATGGTTCATAAATTATAATGCAAAAAGCTCAATCTAAACTAGCTACCATTTATTTTTCTTTAGTAATGTTTGTCATAACGTCTAGATATTAACTTGAGGAGTCTCCACCAATCTTTTTTGTTTAGGTGCGATTGGCCACCTTACTGAATCTGTCCTTTTTTAAAGAGAAATCCTAAGTTTGACTTAAGTATCTTTGCAAAGTAGATCCAATGTCTACGAAACCAGAACTAGGTCCGAGAGTGCGGTTACGTGTGAGAAAAGTTATAGCACCCCTACAATGTCAATCGAAAGATGGTACCAGCTCAATTTCGTGTTATCCATTAGCCTTAAAAGTTTTACCAAGTATTTAATTATTGAAAATTATCCTTAATTGACTCCAATACTTTTGGCAGAAAATTAAAAAATTTTTCTCATCTCAAGAGTATACAAGAAAACTATCGATTTTCTTGCAGCGGCTCCATCATCGGATTATTTAACATTAAAAACTTCCAAGAAAGCAAAATAGGAAAAAAAAATTTCTCTTTCATTATTTTTTTTATTTTATCTAAAAAAATCAATGCCTTTATAAAAGGAAAATTGATACTTTCAACTTTTTCTCAAAGCATTTTTAAAATTTTTATTTTAAAGAAAAATTGATACTTTCAACTTTTCCTTAAAAATGACTTTTTTATTGAAAATTTATTTTTAAGAAAAATTAATACTTTCAACTTTTTCTCAAAAATATCTTTTTTGAAATCTTTAATTTTAAGGAAAATTGATACTTTCAACTTTTTCTCAAAATGCTTTTTTTTTTAATTTTATTTCCAAGAAAAATTGATCTCTCAATTTTTCCACAAAAATGCTTTTTGAAATTTTTTATTTTCAAGAAAAATTAATACTTTCAACTTTTTCTTAAAGTATTTTTTTAAAAAAAATTTTAATCTTCAAAGAAAATTGATACTTTCAACTTTTCCTTAAAGTATTTTTTGAAAATTTTATTTTTAAAAAAAAAATTAACCTTTTAGCTTTTTAAAAATTTGAAATTATTTTTATTTTTATTGTTATTTTTAGAATTAAGGATTATTCAAGGAAAAGAAAATAAACACCCAAGCAAAAAAAGATAAATAAGTAAATACCGAAGTTTGCGGCTTAGCTCAAGAAAAACAGCTTGGCTCTACTCTTAGTAACAGCATGAAAGCTAATCAGCTTGGCTGGAAGGTTTAGGAGATGCGACTGCAGGCTCAAGATGGGCTTAAAGGCCCAACGGCTTAGCTTCGGCTTAAAAATGGCTTCACAGCTCAAACTCGAGTTTGTGAAACGGGTCACTTCTGGGTTGAGTTTTCAAATGGGCTAGAGCGTAGATCTTTTTAGGGATTCGATTCTCTTCTTTTAAACGACGTCGTATTTTTTTAAAGTATACAAGCCCTTTTTCAATTTTTTTCTTCCACTTTTCGATTTGGTTTCTCTCTTTATCCTCGATACTCTCTCTCTAAGAAAGAGTGAAGGTTGGTTGAAAACTCCACAAGTTTCCAAATTTTGACGAATGCCACTGTCGTTGCTGTCTCCGAACATCGTCGACCACCGTATCAGTGATCGTTCGAGCCCAAATTTTGCTTAGAAAATTGTTTTGGCCTTCTTTTTCACAGGGTACAATTAATTTACCATGAAAACATCTCTAATTTTATAGATCAAGTTTTGGAAAGCATGGACTCTAACGCTTGAATCTCCCATAATGCTACTCTTTTGGCCACTGTTTCTCGATGTGTTCTTCCTCTTTTCCTTGGCTACCCTATAGATGACTTGAGAGTCTTAGAAACCTCTGGTAAGAGTACTTTTTTAATTTCTAAATTCTCTTATTTTTATTGGACTTTTGCTTATGCACTTCACCGACGAAGGGTTACTTCTGGTGGAAGATGGACAGTGGCAGCAATGAAATGAGTGCATTATGGTGGTGGTTCAGGTTTGAAGTCTATTTTTTTTATTGACTGGATCTTGCTTGATTGCACTTTCCTGCCTCCTGATTTCTTCCTGTGTGCTTTTCATTGTTGGTGTGTGTCATCCCTTCTGTTGATTTGTGCTATGCAGTTTGGCTGGAGATTGGTTTTGTGTTTTGGGATTTATTTGGTCTGTGTTAGTTTTGAGTGTGAAAATTTTTACAATGGATTCAAGTATGGTGGATATTGGCTAAGTGACTATAGGTTTATGACATTGGCATGAGTAATGACTGACTGGTTTTTACAGATAAAGCAACCCTCAACTAGGTAGACATCTAGATCAAATTATTATGGTTAAGTAATTTTAACTTATTTTACATAATTTACAAATTCAGACCAACTAGAAAAAGTAGCTTCTATATTCATACCACTAATACCACTATCATACACTTGAGTTTTAGCACTATACTCATTGTCAAATTGATACTCACGAACATATTCCTCATAAATCTCATAAAAAGCACCTCGAACTCTAGCCATATTTTTTCTTACTTCTCTATCAAGGTACATTCAAGGAAAGCAAAACTCAACCAACCTTATTTTGCACTTTGGATCTAAGATAGTTACTATAGTCATTAACAAATTACATTATCCTTAATCCTTATCAAATTTACCCTTCATCTTGCGAATCACTACTTGAACAAATACATTTTCATCATTCATCTTTTTATCCAACAATACTTTCACATGATAAACTTCATTCAGAAATAAGTTTGAAGTTGGATAATCACTTCCAGAGATGATTTTAGTGGTTGAATTAAAAACTTCTAAAATCTCACAAACTTTCTCCATCTTTTCCCAATCTTCATGACTAGGATAACATTCGTAATAAGATTCTTGTTCTTTGAGTATTGGAAACACTTCTTTGAATTTGATTGTAGTCGACAACATTTCGAATGTTGAATTCCAATGTGTTTTATAATCGAGAATGAATTTCCTATCAGACAATTGTAATTGCTGTACTATGTCAAAAAATGAGTTAAGTCTTGCCTCATTTTAATTAATAAAACTAATATTTTCATGAACATCACCAATTACATTCTTAATCTTAGAAAGACCATCTTGAACTATGAGATTTAAGATGTACGTACAACACCGAATATGAAATAATTTTTCCCCATAAAGTAACCTCTTATTTCTTGAAGATTTGTTTTTAAAAATTTTAATCACCATATCATTGCTTGAAGCATTGTCCATAAAAAGTGTAAACACCTTGTTTTCAATTCCCCATTCATTTAGACACTTAAAAATATAATCGACAATCTCAACACTTCGACGAGGAGGAGGATGTGAACAAAGCTAATAACATGCTTTTGCAATCTCCAATTAGAATCTATAAAGTGTGCTATAAGAACCATATACTCAATCTTTTGATTACTTGACTTCCATAAATCTGTCGTCAAACTAATCTTGCTGATAGTCTTCAACAATGCCTTTAATTTTTTCTTTCTACTTCATAACTTGCATGTAATCTTTCTTAATAATATTACATGATATCTTTTCCCATTTAGGCATTTCACATTTTTGCATCATGTTAAAACCTTCCTCTTTCATAATCAAAAAAAGATGCTAGTGCATAAGTATCCAATGTACAGCTGCCTATTTCATTTTGCCATATCAAACTTGCCATTTGTGAGAGCAGGTAGTATTTGTACATTATCACATGTGTATACTGGCTGAAAGTTGATCATTTATTGTTGATTCTAAAAATTTTTCGCTTAACATAAGTTATCGAGTGCCTCTTAAATTGAGTTATACTTTTATTTACATTTATTGCTAGCTTCTTCTTGCAATGAACACACTCTCTTTTTTTGGAACCATCAAAGAGACTGACTTCTTTAAACTCTAACCAAACAGCAAATTTCTTTTGCCTCTTTTTTTTTATTACTTTTTCTCACACTTTTCAGGGTTAGCATCATCATATTCCTTATCATCAGTATCGATGACTGGTGTTTTATTTGTGTTGCCATCAGTAGCATCTAAAGTTTCATTTATTGAATCATTATCATCATCTGACAGAATTTGGCTAGCAAAAGAATTTCTTGTCGACTGAAATAGTGCAGAAGAGATATCTGGTGTGGTTGATGACATGTTTAGTTCTCTATAACAAAAAAAAAAAGACAAATCAAAAAAATAATTCAATTTTGAGATCAAACAATAATGCCAAACAAGTTGTTAGAAACATGTGTGGTAAATTCTTATGTGAGAAACATGCCAAACAAGTTGCTAGAAACAAGTTATTGGAAGAGTATGGAATTTAGCAGTAAATGATAACCATTTATGAGAATTGCAAGCAATGTACATAGTCTTTGCTAGATATGATAATTGATCAAGGATAAAATACAATGAGGTGGTAGTAACTATGTAAATAAACAAAATTTAAATTGATCTTACACATGCAGTAACTAAAACAATTGATCAAGGTTTGCTTCTTCATATATCTAGAATGCAAAACTATGTAAATAAATAAAATTTAAATTGATCTTATTCATGCAGTAACTAAAACTATGATGAATATAGTAAATTAAACTAAGCTAAAGACTTAAAACTAAAAATTTAAGAAAGAAAACAAAACATAGAAGATGCAAAAATTAATTTTATATTTGAATGAGAAGTGGCATATGGAACCTACCTAATTTCTAGCATTTTATACTTGAACACTACCAAATGGCATATTATACTTCTTAGGAACCATCCAATCTAATTCGTTTACTCAGGTAACCCAGAACACTCTTGACCTAATTTCTCCACTCTCTAATGCCTTAACACTTTTGACCTCGGTAACAATAACTTTACAAGTACCTTACTTTTAAGTCTTTATTATTGCAAGTTACTAACTGCAATAAGACTGGCTACTAACCAACTAAAGGGATGAATATCACCAGACATACTTACATTGCGATCGTTATCATACCTTTTAATTTCTACTAATAAACTAATCAATTTTAGGCATATTGTGACCAATAAATATTTTTGGAAACTAAAAGAGAAGTGAACATACACTTATAAAAGTTCAAAATGGCAGTACAAATAAACTATAAACTCCATAATAAAAGTTGAAATCAATAAAAATGCCTGAAAAAGCGTATAAATTAGAATTTATGCTGACATTGATAGGCAAATAACGTTAACTAGAATGCACCTTCAATAAATGAATGTACATTACCTCATACGAGTAGAGAAGCTAGGTTTCTTTTTAAAAGTATTTCCCGATCAAAGTGCAAAGTTTGGGATGATGAAGTCACTAATGAAAATAACAGTTAAAGCAATGGGAGTAGCAGATCTGATCAGTCTCATGATGAAAAAAAGTTAGTCAATGATCAAGCGGAGATAGATCTCGACTCAAAGAGTTGTTTCTAAATCTTTATAAACATAAACACAGCCCCTTGAGACAGAGAAAATCTTCAACAGATTGACTTTACAGTTTATACGATAGGCGGGCAAGGAAGAGGCAGGTCGCCTATCAGTAACAGTAATAGGGGAGAAAGAGAATCTTCTCATTCATAAAATGCCCTCTTACGCGCTATCCGATCTCGATGAAAAGCCTATAAGAAAGGGGTAGCAATGATCCTATCAATTGACTAGTTCAGTTTCGGGACTTCTCCTGAAGTGAAGCTGGAAGGACTGGAAGAAAAAAAAAAGGATAGATTTTCGTTTTCGGGCCGGGAGGGAGGTGACGAAGACAGGGAATAGTAGTTGACAGGTGAATGCCAGCGATGAATGACGCTTTCCTCTTGGTTGGGCTTTGATGAATAATCAGGATAGTTTATAGGCTTCGGTGCTGAGGTCGTATATGGTCAAAATTTTTTCATCTTTGAAAGGCTAAATTATGGGTGGTTAAGGTGGATTTAGAGTTGGTTGGGATTGAGAGAGTCAGAAAAAGTAAACTAGCTTCGAAAGGATTGGACGAGAGTGAGAGGAAAAGGCACCGCAAATGAGTTTTTTGGTCAGATAAGAGAGACGAAGAGAAAAAGGGATAAAAGAAAATGAAAATTTAAGGATTTTTAGGTTAAGGGTAAGATAGTAATTTTATAAATAAAATAATAAAAATATATAATAAAAAACTTGATTAGGCTTGCAAGCTATTCAAGCCGTATACTAATATACTCGAATTTGGCTCATTTGATAAATCAGCTACTCAAACTCAAGCTCGACTTGATAATTATCGAATCAAATTTAAGTTTTAATCGAATCGAATTGGAGTAATTTATAAGTATTAATATATCATTTATAATCCTGCTTATGGTAAGCATCACCTATTTTTAAAATTTTTTAAATAGGTGTCGAGCCTATATCTTTTTTTGTTTTTGTAGATGTAAGACTCAATTTTTTAATTGATTTTTTTAATTGGTGGGGCTCAGATGTTTTATTTTATTTTATTTTTTAAAAGGTATATATCCATTTTTTTTAAATTTATCTTTTATTTTTTTTCACCCATTTTTTAAAATTTTTTTCTTTTTCAGTATATATGATATTTTAAAAAATATATTTTAAAAAACCTTTTTGTGAGATTGATTTATACTAATTTTTAAATATTTTTCCTTTTTAATTTTTTTCAAACAAAATTTATTTTTCATTTTAATTTTATTTTAAAACTCATTTGTTATTAAAAGTACGCAACATGTTTATTTTTTAATTTTTTTTATTTTCTAAATAACTGATAAATAATTTTTTATTTAAATTTTTTGTGAGCCCACTTTATATCAATAAAATAAACATGTGTAGTCATTTTATGTTTTTTTTTCATTTTTTATTAATTTTTTAATATTTAATAGTTTTTTATATTTTGACTTTTTAATATGGATTGCTTGGTATTATTATTAAAAGTACATGCTTTATTCTTTTATTTTCTTAATTTAATCATATTTGAAGAAAATTATATTAATGGATGGGTTGGTTGCGCAATGAATTTGATTTTTTTTTTTTTTATTTGTCTATTCATAAAATAAATTTTCGCTAAAATCTCATAATTGCTGATGTTACGTGCGAACTCAATTTCCTTTGAAATGATCATTATATCCTTTTAATTATTTGGTAATTGAATTACATGCATTTAAATTAATTATGATACTTATAATTAATTAAAATTACTATAATGACTCTTTTGACATAATTATTAAAATTCTCTTATTACCATAATTAATTAAAATTATTATGATACCCCTATAACTATAATTATGAAAATACCTTTATATCATCACTTGCTAAAATGACTATAATGTCCTTCTTATTATATTTACAAAAATATCTCTTATATTATAATTTATCAAATTACTAAAATACTCTTTAATCATAATTATCAAAATACCTTCTCACCAAAATTATAAAAAATACCACTCATATTATATTATAATACATTCTAATCATAATTACAAAAAACCCATTTTTGATTGTTTTATATAATGCCCCTCAATCATAATTATGAAAATATACTGTTATATTATAATTGATAAAAATTACTATAATACCTTCTAAGAATAATTATAAAAATCCTAAACTCAGAACTTTAAACCCTATAATATAATTATTGAAATATCTTTTTTACCATAATTAGTCAATAATACTCTAATGCCACTATACTATAATTACAAAATACTCCCTTATCATAATTACGAAAATAATAATCATATTATGATTTATCAAGATTACTTGAATACTTTCTAACCAAAATTATAAAAATATTCTCTTATATATTTTTATATTATAATTAGTTTAAATTATTAGAATACCTTCTAACTATGACTATAAAAAATATCTTTTTAAATGTCTCATATAATATCCCTCCTACCATAAATATAAAAACAACAACAAAATAATAAAAAGTATTTATTTTTTATTATTAAATAAAAAATTAATTAATTTATATCTCATCAAAATAAAATATTTGTAACTTGGCCGTATAGGTTTAGTTTTTCTACTTCTATATATAAATGCTACACTTTTGCATTTACTACGTATCCTCTATGTCAGTTGCCCCTTTTGCTTTGTTTTTTTAATTAAATGGTGGGCCTAGTTATTTTTTAAAAGTAGTGTGGCGCCCGCACCCTTTTTTGTTTTTAAAGGTGTGGAACCCATTTTTTTCAGCTGTTTTTATAATTATTGGGCCCACATTTCAAAAAAAATTTAAAAAGATGTTGGCTCATATTTTTTAAATTTATTTTTTGATTTTTTTACTTCACCCGTTTTTTAAAAAGTTTTATTATATTTAATATTTAAAATATATATATTTAAAAAAAATTATGGGACTCACTTATACCAAAATTTTTTTTTACTTCCTTATTTTAAATTTTTTTAAATAAATTTATTTTTTTGTTTTAATTTTACTTTGAAACTCATTAGCTATTAAAGATATATAACATTTTTTTTTAATTTTTTTTAATTTTTTATATAATTGATAAATAATTTTTTATTAAATTTTTTTTGTGAGACCCATTTTATATTAATGATATATAACATGTCAAGTTATTTTATGTTTTTTAAATTTTTTTCCTATTAACTTTTTCTAATATTTAATAATTTTTTATATTTTAACTTTTTTAATATGAATAGTTTGATATTAATATTAAAAATATATGTTTTATTATTTTTTAATTTGATATTTTAAAAAAATTATATTAATGGATGTAAAGGCTTCGCATCCGAATTTGATTTTTTTTTTAGTTTTATTTTTTTAATTCATATTATAAAATTTTCAATAAAAATTAATCATTGTTGATGTCACATGCAAACTTAAATTTTTTAAAAATGATCATAATACATTTTCAATTATTTGACAATTGAATTACAAGCATTTAAGTTGATTGTGATGCCTTATTTTTATGATTAACTAAAATTATTGTAATAACTCTTTTAACATAATTATTAAAATATCCTTCTTACCATAATAGATTAAAATTACTTTGACACCCCTACAACCATAATTACGAAAATATCATCCGACAATAATTTGTCAAAATGACTATAATATCCTTATAGGATTGAGGTTATTATCAATAACGAAACGGCGCTAATGAGCTAAGAAGGATTTGGTGTTACTAGAGTGAATGTAGTGAACAAACACTGATATGAGTGTTTCAAATAAAGAATTTTGT